TTGGCCATTTGCTTGGCTGCCAAAAACAGCTCCTGGAAGGAGAAGGGGGCATCTAATAGATCTTTCTCTTGTGGATCTAACTTTGTATGTACTTGGTCCCTAAAACTATTGGAAACAGAAAGATTTGTATCTACTGTGTCCCATAGCCGCCTTGAAGATACGATGTCTTGGAAATAGGTTGAAGCGTACTTACACATTTCCTTTGAGTCCTTTGCTGTTGGAGTATTTAAAAGGAAAGGGTGAACCAACTCACGAAGCATCGGTTTTGTCTGTTTGAGTATGAATGATCTAAATGCGATCTTAGTCATCCTATCATACCCCACCAACCCCCTGAGTTTTAACCATTGAAGCCATTGCTCCTGTTTACTTGACTCTATTCCTTCTAGCTCCACCAACAAGGATTTTCTCTTCTCCGACCAATAATAGTCTGAGAAGGGATCTCCTCCCATCTTTTGCTCCGCTTCCACTATTGAGTCCCGTAGGGAACGCTCCTTCCATGAGCGGTTAGCGGCGCATATCCGGGAGAAGGTGCTCAAAGCTGCGGTAATGATACCTAGGCCGACTTCTGCCCAAGACCTTTCATTATCGAAAAGTTCTTGAGCCCCCATCCAGGCCTTCATTTGATTGCCTATCCAGTCTGGGATGCCTTTTATTTAAAGCAAATTAAGATTTAATTTGAACGGTGGGCAGCAGTTTTCCAGCTGTTCCTTTGCCAAAACGTCCATGATCACCGGATAATGGTCTGACATTGAGTCCACTTCTACCTCACACAGCATGCATCTATCCCATATTACGCCCTTGGCTAAGAAAAAATCCAATCTTCTTCTCGGGCTTTGGGCTGTCTTCGACGGGAGCGGGCCGTGCCAAGTAAACCCGTTCTCCTCAGGGTTTAAAATCCTAAAGACATCGACCAAATTCTGAGAATCTGCTAACGAGGTCAGCAGCAGCGAGTCCTGTCTTAAAGCGACGGGGTTAGGAGAATCCAATCTTGGATTAAATATCGTATTCCAATCCCTGGCCATCACCAGGTTTTCCACGTCTGGAATCCAAGAAGGTAGAGAGGCAAACAATTCTGTCCTTTCCTTGTAGCTCACCGGGGCGTATACTGACATAATAGCCCAATCCTCATCTCCAAATGCCACTTTTACCCATACGCATCTACCCCTAGGATCAGCAAAGAAATCAATGATGTCTACCTCCAGATCTTTATTAACTAGGATTGCTACCCCACCCCGAGAGCCTTCTGCCGGGGCCCAAAATTGGGGCCCTTTCCACCATGTCGAAAATTCATGTATTTTATCCACATTTAGCTTCGTTTCCTGGATGCATGTAAAGTGCGAGTTCTGCAAATGAATCCACCCTGCTAATCTTATTCTCTTCGCAGAATCCTCAATCCCTCTCACATTCCAGCATGCTAAACGAAACTTATTGGGCAGGACCATTGCTTTGGTCGCTGCCGCCTTGAACTTGGATGCGGATGTTACCTGCAATCACCCCTTCTCCTTCCTTTTCCTCTTCCAATTTGTCTACTAGGCTCAGAGGAGATTTTTGGGGGCCGAATTGACTTAGGAAATTTTCAGATTCGAAAAAACCCTCGGCAACCGACTCCTCCATCCAATTTACGATATGTACCGCAGAGAGGTGTGCACCCAGGTGTATGTTTGACTGGCTCGTGGATTCAGAAGGTATCAAGGCAGCCAATGAAAACCAGTGGATTTTGGATTGATCCCACTGCTCCTTTGATCCTTCCATCAAAATTAAATGCAGGAAGGTTAGGTGAAGGACTATTTTACTTCTGTCCTCCAGCTCCACCACGTATCTTCCCCTCTTCGGCTCTGCCAGGCACTGAACCGTGCCCATGCCTTTTAATACTGAGTTCTGTGTCAGTTCCATTGCCAACTGGTCCGACGGCTGTGTTCGGACCTTAATCGAAGGAAAGCTTAAGGATTCGTCCTCTGTTACCAGGGTTAAAACCTTGGGGCCTTGCTGCAACGAGACACAAATTATCGGGATCAGAAGTTCTGTGGGTTTTTTAGCCTCTTTGTCTGACCGAGACAGCGTGTTCATAGGGGATGCAAAGGATACGTCCCAATGTAAACCTTTGCCTATGGGTCTTTTCTTTTTCCCGCTTTCGTCCGGAAATAACTCTTCGGGTGACAAATCCAGATAAGATCTGCGTAAAACTGAACTACTATCATTTAACTTACCCTTTTTTGTCGTCGGGTTCTCCGCGCTGAGATCTACCGGATGCCCTCTCCCCTCTTCCCCCTCACGCCTCTCCCGTCTTTTACCTGTTTCTTTCAGCATTTTCTTTCCTTTTTTCGGGACCTGTTTTTTCCCGGTTGTACTTGCCTTGAAAAGAATTTCTGCTGCTTCT